GCTGTTCAATGAACTATGTGTTCCCAGACGTCGTCTGAAATTTGATATTTACTAGGTGAACCACTTCACCCACTGTCTGCAGGGGAGGGGGTGTAATTATAGCGGTAATTCCACTCCTGTCTGCACAAGTTAAATCCATCGTCTGTACTGCGTTGTAGCCATATGCAGATGTTATGTAAGTTGTGTCACTTGGATGTTAGTGATGATGAAAATAATTTGCTGTGACAACAGCAAATAACTGAATTTCGCCTTATGTTGTAACCGGTTTAATCATGTTTTCCCTTCTATTTTGGTGTCTTCCCTGTTCATGTTGTTTTTTTGTATATTTTGGGTACGATTTTGTCATCTTTCGTTGACGCTGAGGCATATTTTTTTCTCATTTATCTTATTGAAACTTTTGTCATTGGTGTTCATGACGTCGTTGCCTCTGATTAGTTGTTTTCTTAGTTTCTATGCTGTCCACTCGAAGACGTAATGATTTAGAGTTAGAATACTTTCCTTGTGTGTTGATTCAAACGTATAACGGTATTAATTTTAATTTCTTAATTCTAAAATGGTTTTACGTTATGAACCTTTCATGAAAAATTACAATTTATCAATAAATCTGTTATGTAATCCAAAAGGATAACCCTTGGGGATATTTGTGTCAAATGAAAAAGTTCAAAATATTTACAATGAACAAAATACAAAGTTTTCAGGCCAGCATAATATCTACATATTACAAACTAAAGTTCGACAAAATACTTTCAATAAATGCATAGCACTGTAATTCGAAATGAGAAGATCGTGTTTGTTTATTTTTTTCCTTTTTCACATTTTGAATTCCTTGTCCGACGCTCAAGTTGAATTTTCGTCACTTAAATGTTTTGTCTATTTATGTTTTGTTTATCTGTCCTAAAGCTTACTGATCTGACCACACATTGTGGTTCCCTAACAAGACGGGGACCAGGTGTTATTCGTTCCTCGTGCTAGCCTCAGACATATTCACTGACCAGCTCCTTGCTCTAAGATATATAGTTACAACAGTCTTTGGTATGTTGATTCTGCTTTTGACAAGCCTGATTATTGTTTTGTTAGTGGTTATACGCTAGTTGGCTTCATTTGACAGACTGTTGAGTGAACTTGGTTGTAAGACACCCTGGAATATGAAGCAATCAAATACCCACACAAGTCAATCAATCCAAAACCAATCATCGCACTCGCTACATTAACGGCCTTAATTGTGTGTTTGAAAATACATGTTTGTCAAGAATCGTATATTTCAAAATGCAGCTACTGCAGTTTGCTTTCTGATTATGATTGCATAAAAATGAGAACAGCTTTCTTTATTTACTGTGCGTATCCCTTAACACAAGGAAAATGATATGCTGCCGTCATGGGTTTGATTATAGTTTCTCTTATATTATACGGGAATTTACTGGAATGACAGTCATTATTCGGTACGACTTCTGGTGTCGAACATCACGTATTTATGTTATTACTCTAGAAAATAGATAATTGTTTTAACACTTTTGGTTTTAGATAAAAAGTATTAAGTGCAACAGTGTTAACTGATAAGAAATGAATCACATTTTAACAAAGATATCTTTACATAAAATCATTTGATGTACACACACAAATAATGGTTAATTATTCATATAATGATTTATTTCATTAGTAGAAATACGAGTGTATTCTTATAGTTCACAGTCGCCTCTTTGATAATTAGCAGTAAACTGCAAACATCATGGCGAGGAATATCATATTCGGTATTATGCAAAAATAACCTTATAAATATAGATATATATAGATATAAGTCCGATGATTTATCGTCAATAGTAAGGTGTGATTTATGAATTTATAATTATTGTTCAATGTAGTATGGATGTAGTTTATACATGACAGATGTATACATGCGTTGTATGGTATTTATGACAATTTTAAGAGATGTTTCGGTCCGTTTAAGTTCTACGTTATCTTCTGAAATATCATACCTTGTAAAACTGTTTTTCTATTGAACTCTTATAAGGGATTTATATCTATAACCCTGGTTTGGAAGCTAACCGACACAGTGATAATATCCTTCAAGCAAATATTTCACAGGTGATTTTTTTTTAATTCAAAATAATTCGATACAAAAAAAAACAACGAACACCATAACAAAGCAAAGACAACATGACCCTTTACCACAATATGGGAGAAATTAGTCATTATGACGAAAGGTAAAATCAGTCTTTCGGGTTATGTAAGACAGTTGTCGACTCTATACCTTACTCCTGATAACAAAACTAATCATTAACATAACATTGGTCTGTTATGTTTCCGACTCTAATGACTAGTCCGCGTCAGGGAGCTTACTAAACGAAATCCGAGTATTTCCAAAATTCACTAATTTAGCTAGTGCAGTTAATGTTGAATCAGTTTTTGCTCAAAATGAGTTAATTGGAACGGAATATATACACTATAGCAAAAGTAACCTCACGTAAGGGCAACATAAATAAAGGGAAACACCACATAGAATGACACTGTAAACCACAGAAATGAGTATCGAGGCGACACCAGATTTTCAAGAGGGATAAGCGTGCCATGCACTCATCGCCATGATGTCTCATAGCATTGGCCTGTTTAGGTCCCGACCCTTCAAATGCTCTAGATGTATTTGCATGTGCATTTTGATTAAGTCTTATATAAAGATCTTGGAAAATCGATTCCCGTTTGTACGTGAGTAAATATAAGAGGGCCTAATCTTGCTGTGTGAATTGGGTTTAACGTTATGTTGGTAAAGTCATCTAACAGTGCACCCATCAAAATCACAGCAGTTATATCAAAATTAGGTAAGAAAATGTTAAGAGTAACCAGATAAGCGAATGTTGATTTTGGCAGAACCCGGTAATGTATCAATAGGTTGGTGAGTATGTGTAATGCATTGGAATGCGTGTTGTACGTGCCGTACTATGTAATGATGCAGAACTGGACTACGTTTATCGGCGTAATAAAGACGTGAGCCTAAGTGTAAAAAGCGCTGTCAGCTTCATGTCGTGAAATAATTTGCTTTACATGTTTTTTATGATTTTTTTTTTTGTGTAAATATTTCCGTATGGCTTTCTTGCAACGAGGCTCTTGGGTGGCCACGTTTCCTCATACAAGGAGAATGTTGGTATATTTTTTTGTTGATATATATTGTAAATTATTAAATTGCATGGTGTTGTTTGGATAAGCTAACAAAGCTTAGTATAATTGCATACTATACTCGTAACCAATCAATTCTATTAAGATACTAACCAGTACATCTTATCACAGGAGGCTGGGGCACATGTGATGGGAAATGTACACAGTATAGATAGCAAAGTAATATACACAAACCTTCATAGTAAATATAACACGTCCACACTTTACTGTAACCTTTTGCTCTACTACTAATATCACTTGTTTCTATTTTATGATTTGCATTAAAGGTATTAACTGTTTAATGATATATTTTTATAGGAATTTTATCTTTTAATTTATTTATTATAATCACTGCATTTAAATATATATTGTATTAACCATGCTAGTTGTTAATATAATTAATAATAATAAGCAGAACTTATATTCACTCAAACTGTACTATTACTCATACACAGTAAGAGTATTCATTTTATTATATGCTATAATCACTACGTTTATATAGAGTGTATATAACTATCAATTAAAAATAATTAACACATATTATATACACACATCTTCTGCCAGTATTATTACTTATATCTCGCATATTCGTTATACGTAACACAATTTTGAATATAATCAGTAAGTGTATCCATTGATCTATATATCATGTATTTATATATATATAAATATAAATTACTAAGTTTCCTGCGAAGTCTTTACTTCAGTCAGTGAGATATTTATAATTACTGCACACGATCATATCACAATACTAGGGTGACAATGTCTATTGACATGCCATTGTGTTTAAAATTGATATCAATTTGTCATGAATTCAATGAGTAAATGATTAAGGGTTATTTATACAGGAAATTACTACACAAACTTACAGGACATATTTAGTCGTGGCCTTATGCACAGCCACTAGCTGTCAGTGTTACATTGAGGGCGGATTTAGTCTAGGCTATACACAGTCAGTGACAATCAGTGTTTAATCTTACAAATACTGATAATAAAAAACGGCTTTATCAAATTTCCTTAGTGGTCCTTCACCCGACCATAGATTTGATAAATGAGTTTGCAAGCATACACCTGCTAACATGTATCTCGTTGTGTTCTTATGAAAAAGTGATGTTGTTCATTTAGTAGTGCTATTATTTTATTTAGAATTGATTATTTTCTCAATTTTCTGAATGTCACCCAGCTAATAATCAAGTTTGTCTTCAACACATATCACAGGACCTGTTTACATTTGTGTATAAAGGACATGCATTCCAACAGCGTAAGGTTTTAAACCATGGTTTTTAACCAACACATAGAAATATCTGAATCTAAATCTCCTGTGGATGTTAAATGCATCTGGTCTCCTCCAAACACAAATATTAAATTTAACCACACGATGGAACCTTGTTCCACGTCACTGATCCCTCCAACCAATTGACCTCTCCATCCCAAACTAACAACCATAATTAACGTTGCAAGAGAAATTCTACCGGACCCCTTCAACAACCAAAACTACTTACCATAATTATCGCTACTGAAAAAATATTTTGTTCGGGTAATGTTTTCTGAAAACTATTATCTGCCCCCTTACCTAAACAACAGCCCTTTCACGAGCCCTTTAACGATGACACATAACGTTACAAGGTAGTTATTATCTGACCCCCTCTAAAACCCCAAACTAGCGATCAGTATAAGCGTTGTAGAACCAATACTTTCGGCCGGTTAACATTATAAGAGAATGTTGTCTGCCCTCTCCTACATCCCGAACTAACAGGAGAAACATTTCCTGATCCCAAACAACATAAACCAACAATGACAAAATAAACAGAAGTGCTGCGCAATGTTGACTTTAGGTAGAATGATGGTCCTACCTTGTTGGCTGTCGGAGGGGTTACTCCGGAGAACGGCCTGGTTTACATCTGTCTCGTGTTCCTCGTTATTATCGATACCAGATGATATTGCCTCACAAGGTCTAACAAGATCATCCGAGCTAATTATACCGTCGCAGGTTGTTTGGTCTCCTGTACACTCTCCACTGATACTCCCACTATCTCTAGTACGTACATTCCCTGTTTGTTCCTCACTGGTCAACACATACGAATACTTCCTTTTACCAGGCAAATTAAACACGGCTCTTCTTGTTGTAGAACTTTTCCTACTTTCCTTTTCTTTCTCCAGTAAGTTTAATGATTTTATGGATGTTGGTAATATAATGGCTGTTTGTACTCCAGAAGACTCCGTAGTCGGTAAGTCGCAGGATATATCTTTAACACTAGTATCCCTGTTATTGACTTCAATCAATGGTGTGACTTCATTAGAAGCACGGGTACGTCCGGTGACACCTCTATCAATCCTGCTCCGTCGTGGAAATACAGAAGTGCTATTTTCACCGATTTTGACAGAGTTGCCTGTATTTTCCTGTTGTGTACACGACAACACTATACTAGCAGCTCTGGTGTCCTCTCCTCTTACACCAGACAATACACCTTTTAACTCCCCACACAAAGGCTTGCCATTATTTTCAATCAGACGGAAATTATCACCGCTATTAGGAACTGTCGTAACGGTACACGCTTCATTAGCGCTGGCTAAAGGCCGCGTGTTGGAGGTCGTCACACCAGGTCGCCATACACTAGTACTGACACCGGTCTGCACATTCACTGCACTCGCTGCCTGGTCGTCGTCCCCTTGTGGAACAGAGTGCTGCTCGTCAGTGTTAGACCTACCTGTCCCCGTGAGTTTATCACCAGTGCTAAGTCTACCTGTCTCAGTGTGTTTATAGTCAACGTTAGACGAACTTGTCCCTCTATCAGTATTGCCGTGGTGTGCGCTATGAGGTAGAGGTGATATATGACGGGGCAGTTTTGAACTGCTTTTACCTGTACCACCTGACTTGGAACTTGTTATCACTTCCTGTTCTCTCCGTGTGTCTACCACTTCAATACTCGTGTAATCCTTCACGTGTCTTTGATTACACACTTCCACTTTTCCTCCCACTTCATTCAGAAGTTCAGACGGTTGTGTGATGGCCACACAAGTGTCATTAGCCTTTACGAACTCGTCTGTATCACGTACGCGGTAACTCTGAATTAATCTCCTCGGAAGACTTTCATTTCTATAGAAATTGTGAAATCTTACGTTTCCTGCTTTTTGTGACTTTTGTTTAGCTAGCGATTGTTGACTCGAAGATGACCTTATTGTCCCACACTTTCCTAAGTTCTCGTCGCATGTTGCACTTTTAATGATTCCTTTCTGGGGGTCGCCGCCAGTTGACAACATACTTGAGTTCTCGTCAGTGCAAAGGTCTGGGAAACTGAAAGTACGCCAGGGTATCAACGATGGTGACCTATCCTCAACATTCTCCTCGTAAAATCTTTTAAGTGCACCTCTAGACTGTGGCAGATCGTTAATTAATGATGAGATAGATCGCCTATGGTAGGGTACATCTGCTTTAGCGCTCTCGTGAACGTCCGTAGTCTTACTCAGTTCTTCAGTTACACTCAATTTATTTAAATTGGCTGAAGATTCCACAGGACCCCCGTACTGGCTTTCTGTTGCCGCCTTTATTGTACTAGCATGCTTCCCTATATCTGTACGCCTACAGACTGGACTGTCCGTAGCAATATGAAAGCATGTGTCTATTCCATCTCTATTCCTATCTTTCAGGCTATCTGTTGAGGCCGACATGTTTTCATTACCGTGTGTATCGCTGTCACATATACTTCCATTATTAAGCGCCAGTGTTTGGGTTCCACAATAACTACGATGCACATCTGCTCCTTGTTCTGTTGCTGCTTCCGCTGCACATTTTGAGGTTCCCGCACCGTCTGTTGTACAAGCCGCGATACCTGTGTTTGTATTCACGGCCACATTACCGTCTGTTTTATTGTAGTTAAATTTCTCCAGCTTACACACTTCATCACTAAGACTTTCTGACAACGTTGACGTACGCGAAGTCTGTCTTACACTCGTCGGCGTGGGGATCTTAGACAAACTGTGACGTAACTTCCGGATATCAGGGGAACCTGTCTCTGATAAATTGGTGACAACTGAATCAAGAGTATGTAAAATAGAGTCTGCACTATCAGAACATTTGTCTGTAGCTCCATGGTTGGTGCTTTTGTTGACAATCTTGATATATCTCCCTTTCTTTTTCCCGTCGATATTACAAGTGCTGTTTATCCCCTTTTCGGTAAACACGGGGCATGACTTTCGTCGTTCCCGTGCAATGATACTAAGGGAATTCTGGCTGTCTAGACTATAGCGGTCAATCTCGCCATGGTCACTATAAGACTGACCAGGTATCTCCATGTGGCCCGTAATTGCATGCCCCTCTCCGTTGGTGTAAACTTTCGCTCTCACTGATAACACTGCACCTCGCACGGCTGAACTAGATTGCAGTAACCCCTGCTTATTTGTATCATTTCGATCACAATCGCCCGTGCCGTTCGCGCGTTGTGTTGATGAACGTACACGTGGGATGAGAGATCGTCTGCGCCGTAGCCCCGTTCCAGTGGTCGAATCAATGTCTTTCCAATTAGACTCGGATTTAGAAACCTCTACAGTTCCATCTGACAAACTTTCCAATGTGTTATCTGCCGAATTATTGGCATTCCTCCATGTTGCTTCTTTTAAGTCAAAGCCCTGTACACTCTCCGTGTTTTTATCTTTATATTTTACTTTCGTCCTATGTTTGTATAAACTGTTTATGTCATCTTTGTCACTATTATCTTTCTTTGTTGCCATCATCTTTGACCCCGTGAAGTCCTTTTTGATAACCCTTGACCCCGCGGTATCACCTGTTGAACGCCGCGCACCTCTCTGTATCTGGGTGCCATCCTTAAGAACCCCAACGTGTTTAGTTGACACAAAGACACGCCTACTGAAATGAGGGGTGGCGTCCGAACTCTGACGCTTGGATAAAGCACTTCCAACTGACGTCACAGACTTACGTAATACGTTAGAGCCATTTCTTATAGAAACGGCATCTGTAGATAACGTCACATTGGTGATAGATTTCTGATTTTTTTGCGTCCTCTGCGTGCCTATGAATTTTTCGCTGCTGTTGTCACTTCCTGCGGTATGTATTGATACTATGGAACGATTCCTTCCTTTTTTCGTGAGGGTGGTGTTAAATTCACGTCTATCTGTGGATTTAATTGAGACAGTGTAAGTAGCCTTGTTTCCCTTAAGATCTTTCCCAGTGTTTTGATTCGTTTGTATTGCTCTCTGGCGACAGTCTATGGCCACACTTCCATGATCGTCGTTGCGTATTTTTGAAACACCGATCCTATGTTTAGAAGATAAAGACTTTCCGTCAGCAACATTAGAATAACTTATGTCTTTTTTCTTATCACAACGCTTCTGTTGCAAACAAAATGCTGCTTTTCCGTATATAATATTGCTCTTCTGGCCAAAGTCGCCGGATTTGTTTCCTTTTATATCTGGGGTAGCTTCAGTGGGACTTATATGTAACATAGAACGACTTCGTAGATCAGGTTTCACGCCAGAAACTGGATCTTTGGAGCCAGGTCTCTCAGGCAAAATCTTCAGACCGTGTTTTGTCTGAATTTCCTTCGCTAATAGTCTGTTCGATCGATCTCTGAGGGCACGTGGATTGGCACCAAGTTTTGAAGACGCATGTCCACGCTGTCGATAACTGGTCTCCGTATCAGCCACACTCGTCATCATCATGGTCGCTTAGTTAGATCCAAAATCTGGAAGCCAAAAAAACGAAACATTAGCAATATTACATGTCTCACTTCTATTTAATTATTTACAAGTTATTCATAGCGTAAATATTGTACTTTTATTATGTTATTATACGAGTTAATTGCTCCCTATTTCACTACATTATTATTACCCGTTTATTAAATTATTTTCTGTTTATTTATCATCAAAGTTTTTCAATTCATCATATCGACATATATGTATTTCTTCACTTTTGCACTAAATAATTACTATGTCTTTCCAACCTCTACGATTCTATCTGTCAATCTTTCAAACATAGTACAACCATACGATTATGTTTTATGACACTTATGATATATATAATTATTTACTTAATTATACTGGACTGTCGTTTTCATGTGTACTATACTGTAAATATATACCGCTATATGATTGGTAAGCCATATTTATTTATTGCTGTTCATAAAGTTAAAACTGTGTGCTAGTCGCTTTCTTTAATTCATTATTTATTATTTGCATGATATTTTATAGTTGTACCTACAATGTAAGTGTATAACCATTTGTCTTCAATTTCGTTATATTGTTATTTAACTACAATCTTACTTTATAACTTCCCTTCAATTTAATGATATAATTCACCTACATTTCGTGGTCTAATATACCTGCATTTATTATTTAATTCATGGTCTACTCCATTGTATGGTTTTATAATTTACCTTCTGTATCACTAAATAATTGTAATGTAGTTTTAATCAATGTTTGCAAACAAGTTATTATTCAATTACTTACCTTAATGTATATGTAATTGTTTATTATTATTATATATAATGATATATTTGTCTCCTATTTAATTATATTACTATTTGTCTTATATATAACTATATAACTATTCGTCATATATATAATGAAATACAAAAATGTAACTATTTGTCTTATATTAAATGATACATCCTTTCGTCTCGTATATAAAAATATAACTCTTTATCTTATAAATAATGTTATTTATAAATATTTGTCTTATATAAAATGATCTTTGCTTTTTGTCTTATATAAAATTACATAATTATTTGTCTTCATGACGGTATGACAAATTCTATATTAAGCAAAGATATAAGTTACTATGTAATGATGCAATAGTTTGTTCACATTTTGTTTGACAATACATCGAAATACAAATGGTACATTTTATAGAACAGAAAAGGAAACAAAAACAAGTGTCATGACACTTATGTAAATTTGTTACATGCTGAACAGTCATTTTTTCAACACTAGCTACAGGAATGAAGTATTATGTACAACAGAACAAATACGGGAAATAGGGGAGGGGTAATGGATTGATATGCAGTGGAAACCAGGGATGAATAATATATCAATATGCATGTGATCATCAGATGGTAATATCATATTGCTATATTGTAACGAGTATGAGGAACACGATTCTGTATAATATAACTATGTATAAGTAGATGATGTGTTCAGCAATGTTGTAAATGGACACTCGATGAATGTTAGAAATGTATATACGAATTACATTACCACTGAATAACTATTGACAAATTGAGTCTATCACAAGGCACCACCATGATCATTAAAAACGTTGAAGTTCACATAATAGCCATCACACTTGTCAATACTGTTTATATTTGTTAATCGTGTAATGGTATATCTCTTTGTTTTATAAGGACCTAAATCTCTATCGTGTAGTTATTGGTTCAGTAAAACCTGTCTTTAAAGATCGTTAAAAGGGAGAAAGCATTTGTTTTGTTTTGATCGGGATGTAACGACCATTTAACAATGTAGAGAAAGCAGACTATAAGGTAAGGCTTGATTAATAGAGAATCCTGATACAGAGGATCCTATTACATAGAAAACAATACGACAATTTCAAGGTAGTATTAGATTGCCTTGAAGCGAATATCAATGATTTCGACCTATGTAACTCAAAGACATTAAAAAACACGCTGGAGGAAAATGTTAAAGACGCGATTTATAGACAGTGTTTACTACATAATGAAACAAGCCATACAGAGTGTCGATTCCCCATGAAGCCATAAACCTAGGCGCTCATATAGTAAGTTACGTCAAAAGTGTTCAAGACACAAAACAGAATAAACGTCAAAAACCGAATTTGCCAAAATATCTTGATAGTTATTCACAAGAATGATTGAAACTCTTAAAACTAGAGATTCCAATTAAAATTCAGAGTTGACGCCACTTGGTCTACAGAACGATGAACTTGAAGAAGAGTAAATTTTGTTCTCTATCACACAATCATCTTTACCAGCTTCCTACGTTTGTAAGCCTTCCTGCACACATTTCCACATTAATATTTTTAAATTTATTTTGTTGCGCCACAGCATTAGTCACCCCTACCACCATACATTGTGTGTGTTAGGTCGATACGAGACTGCCTTGTTTGAGCTGTTCTCCCCACTCCCTCCCCCTTACTCCCAATAATTGTCCGTCTCCTCGGTTCTATCTCCCGTCCAACCGATAACCTAACCCTCCCGCCATCGTCTTCTCTGAACTGCTGTCCGTATTCCTCTAACTCGCATCCTTCCCCACTTTCCATATACTTCCTTTCATTTGTACATGTACCTATTCCCTCAATTCCTTCTATCTCTCCCCTCAAAATATCCTACTCCGTACCCCCTCTGACATCCCCTTCCCTCTGACATCCCCTTCCCTCCCTTCCCTCTGACATCCCCTTCCCTCTGACTTCCCATTTCCTCGTTCTATTTCCATTCCTCCGCTCTATCGTTCTCCTCTCCGTTATTCTTCCTATCCCCTCTCACTTACCATTAGTATTCCCTCTCCTCTGAATCCCTTCCCCTTCCCTCCCCCTCCTGTCCCATTCCTAGCCAACACAATACCCAAGTGTCCTTTGGTCTATTCGACGAACGGAGATCCAATCAATACCAGTATTATGTAATAAGAACCCGATGAAAATTGGCGACAATTATTCCTGAAAAATCACCATTTCTACCGCACGTGTCGTCTGCTGAGGCGGGAATTAAACATTACTCCGTTCTTTGGAAGACCGTTTTATTTCTGTCAGATTAAACGTCATTTTCAATAATCATCGGGCTTAATGTAACATTCCCTGGGCTGGATAGGTTCGTTTTGTAAACTATAATTTTGTAAAGGCGTTACATATCATGTGTTAAATTCCACTTGTTAAAAGTCGGCAGTAAGGGACTGTGGAAGATATGGGGCTTTGGATGCATAGCAAATTTTGTCATGATAGTTTTTACTAAATAAGGCATACGATAAGAAATAATATTTTAGATAATTTACCATTTATGTAAAATGTTATATATTGACATTAGTATTAATTAGCTCATTTGTTTTAAATCATATGGAGTTAATACACTTGATTATCACAACTGTATTTGTGTGTATGCACAGCAATATGGGCAATCAAGCACGAACCCTGGAGACCGAATGTTTATTTCACTTGTCTTTTGTCTCGCGGATGATTTTTCGGTGTTTACTCGATTAATAATCAACAGATTTCCACACGTAAAGTCTCGTTTTATTACTGTTATCGAGCATTCTCAATGAAAGTACAGACACTGTAATTACGTTCGAATTTTAAATTGTTTTGTATCAGCTGAAGTACTACATATAGATGTCCTTTTCCCAAACCGTTTTCTTTGTAGACGTCGTACACATATTTTTTACTTAACTGATATAGAAGACATTGATTTTTCTTCAAATGCCATTAACTTGCCCAAACGAGTTTGTGGACTTGTTCTCAATGCAGCGTTTCAAATTAAATTCTGTCTTCTCTCATAATTTTTATTCCGACAAATGGTTTTTGGATGTTTCCTCCGAGACTACTCGCCGGATACAAATGAAAATGCCTATGAATATTGATATACGTATGTAGATATGCAGAATGTTTTTCTTTGCCCTATCGGACATCAATCGAACATGACAGCCACGGCCTCTGATTTATCAAAAAGGAGATATTGCACGATTTTGCTCACAAGTATGTCGGTATCTAATGGCACTACGCCAACAAGACAGTTGTTCCGGTTTCTTGTTTGGACAAAATGACTGCCGTTATCTGGCTTCTGATTCTGGTCGAAATTTAGATATTGTCCAATTTGGCTGAAATTAGTTTTTTAGGTATATTATGGAATTGTGGGGTCATTCTGATACATCATTTACGACTACGGAGCCGCTTGAGGGACTTGTGTAACGGTCATCGTTATAAGTAAAGTTTGTTTCTATTTTATCTATTTTGTGTTTTCCTTTGACAGTTTAGCGGAAGCAATAAACATGTACATAGCTTGTGAAATCCATTTTAATATCCATAGAGTAATGTATTACGTCACGGACAGGGTTGCAACGGATTTATACCATGGTTTGTTTGGTTGAAAACTTGAGTTGGTTATATTTCTAACTTCACCCACATCAAACGAACAGGGTGTGAAAAGGAAATTTTTTCTGGTACTTAATGACGTGTGTCACAGAGAGATATTTATATCATTGACTGTACATCAATTATTGCTATGTTTAGTAAGAGTTTTATTTTTAATTCTTCCCTAAATTGTCTTGTGTAGATTTATTTGTCCGTGTTTTTCCATGGTAGGTAAGCAAAGTTGAATTGGAAAAAGGAATGTTAAGATATACTATCATTGTGTTATTTTTTTTAGAGTATAAAGTAATCGGTAGAAACATGAGAGTTTTTCTCCAAACGTCTCCAGGACGGGATAACGTGGGATATTTTTGTCACTCAAATGTAGTGTTTGAAAGAAGATGAAACTTGCAAACAGAATAACTTGTGGGTATCAATACCAGGGGCGTAGCTAGACCTTCAGGGGTGATTCGTTTAGGAGCGGGTCCAGGGCAGCTATCACTTATGAAAGCGAAAACTAACAATCCTACTTTTAGTAATTATATTATTACTATCTAGCGTTGTAACGACACACCTTTATTTCACAATATATATTTTTCATTGTTCAATATCACTCTGTTGTATTCTCTCACTTTCATTCTACAATATCACTCTGGTGTA